TTCGTCCAAGCTAACTCATAAATAAAAATAAGTTAATCAAAAAATTATTTATATATATGAAATTACATTATAATTAAAAAAATTATTTATAAGTAAAATATTACTTATATAAATATCATTTTTTTCATAAAAAAAAATATTTATAAAGTAAAAATAACACTAACAAGACAAAAATCACTTCCAAAATATAAAAGTTTGTTATATAAATAAAAATTCACCTATGTATAAAAAAAAAATTAAAAGTACAAAATCAACTTGACAATAAAAGGGCGAAATTAACTTCTAATTGTAAATTTGAAATTAACTTCTAATTGTAAATTTTACTTACAAGTAGAAAATTACTAACTTAAAATTTTAAGTAAATATTTAAATATTAACTCATATGTAAAATAAAAAAAAATTATTTATAAGTAAAATATCACTTATGGGTAAAAAAAATAAAATAAAATATTATACAAGAAACAATAAATTGAAAATTTCACTAAATGACACATATGTAATTTTATTCTTTTAAATTTATTTTAGAATCAATGGATGATAAACTCACAAGCGTATATTGTACTGTTTTAAAAATCGATATTAAAACCACTCAAAATCGATCGCTTTAAAAAATTCATACTTGGTACCTCGAAACTTCCAAGCAAACATCATCACCCCTAAATTATGATTTAATTAGTATAGATTTTTTTTTAAATAAAAATTGTGAAATTGATTTTTTGGAGATTGTAGAATTTAAAAGTAAGCAAAATTGTTTCATTAGGAGATTATGCGATTGAAATAACTAATAAGGTTGAAAAATAAAAGTAATTTTTAAAAAAATTGTGTCAAACGGGGCTAAATTTTAAATCAGGTCGGTCAACTTTAATGTAATTTTAAATTTTACGATTCTGACATGTATTATTTTTTAAATTGATAAAGAAAAATAATTAACTGATAGTAATGTTGTGCTAAATATTTTATGAAATCCACGCTAATTTACTGTTACTCTATATTATAAAGCCTTTTACAATTTCATTATTCATTGATGACGATGTATGAATTTATTAAAGTGCCAATAATACAAGAAGTTCATCATCTTTCTATTTTTCTTATAGTGCTAACTCGTACTAAAGAAAACTGAAATCCGCGTAAAGTTAGCCAGATAATTTCATACTATATTATTAGTGTTTTTAATTTGATCTTCTCAGATGGTGGTGAACATGTAACAAATATTCGATATTGTCTTTCATGACACGTGATCTACTAATGTCTTTAGTGTCAAGGAGACTGTGTTTAGTGCAAGTGGTAGAATTATGTCAGATAAAAGAAACATGTTGAAAAAAGATATATTAAAGACTTTAACGTGCTTGAAAGATTGACAAAATACATACTACAAAATACAAGAACAGATGGCAGTGAAATTGCTAAAGATTTTCATCAATTATTGTTTCTTTTAAAGGTTTGTAGATGAAATATTCGTTAATATACAATTTTAATTTCGTCTACGTAGTGTAGTTGATCATAATCTTGAATAAAGGAAGATGATTTCTAAAAATTGTCTAACAACATAGAATCTTGTATGTTTACCAATTCCTTACAATTTATGTCTTCATTACAAGGAGTGAAAGTATAATTTTTAGTTTAGAAAATGATGAGTCGCGATAAGCTTGCCCACCAAAGAGTGAGTTGGTGGAGCAAGCCGAATCCACATTTGGTTAAACAAGCCCGCTCGTGCTAGGCTTGTCCCACAAGCTAGCGCGGCTCGCTTGGTGGATCGCTCGGTTCATTACACACACATATTTCTAATTCAGTTAAGTAGTATCTACATGCAAATGAATTTCTTACACTTTGTTCATTATAAATGAATCATCGACTTTGTTCATTATAAATGAATCATTCAAAGTTAACGGTATACAAATGAAAATTGCAAAACAACTTTCACAATATAGAATCAACCACAATATTTATTTCTTCCAAATAAGATTTAATAAAAACACGAGAAGGTATGTTTGGTGAATAGTATTAGGCAATCTTACAAATTATATCAAACTAGATTTTAATTATTTTTTTTTGTTTCTTAAATCATATTTAATATGGTTAAATCTCATTGATCAAATAGACTAGTAATCCATACTCGAATAAGTGAAGAATGATAAGTACATATTCAATATA